TTCAAACATCGAAGAAATGACAAAAAAATTGATACAAAGGTCCAAGAAATGACACAAAAAAAAGGATGAAAAAATACGACAAAAAACGTAAAATTGCTTTACAATACACTTTGATACACCTAATATACAAACTAATTATTAACGTCCAATGTTCCTTCAATCTCAGGTGAATTAAACGGGCCATATCTGAGACAATAAATCTTAGTCAATGTTTCGATAAATCCAATTTTACATTTTTATAGCATAACCCTGTACGCAACGCAACATTAAACCACAAGCAATGAAACTTATCAAAATTAAATTAATTTTTTTCAGTGAATCCGTACATAATGTTATTGATCGGAATCCCTTTCAGTTTGTTCCCTTAGAACGACTCTATTCATAATTCAGATTGTAGATACAGTATTTATTAAGTTTCATTGATGCCTATATTTAACGACGGAAGGATGAAAGGAAAAACTGTCCGGATAAATAATGAATGACGTGTAATTAAAACTCGCTGGCGTATTCAGATTTAATGGACAGTGTGTGCGTGCTGATGTGTTTGCTTGCGTTTAAGTTTTTATAGGTGGTGTTAGCGTTGTTGAGTTGAGGATTACTTTTTAAATTAGCTGCAGTCGATGATACTCTATTATTTAAATTTAGTTTAGGAGTTTTCAAACAAACAAGTGTTGCATTATTCATAGTTTCGCTACTTGAAAGTCGGTATTAAACAATTACGACATAAAAATGTAGAAAAAATTTTATAACGTGACACCGTCTCTTCCTTCACCAGTTGAAACCTCAGTCTTGACCCGGATAATCGTGTACTGTGAGGCTGTATCAGCAAAACACATTTCACGTTTCATCGATTACACAGTCCCAGGGTTCAGTCTTTGATTTTTATTATATTCACCAGATAAAAATACACGCACTGAAAATTTACAAAAAAAAATATTTGTCTTTGAAAATCACGTAGATTATTGTGGGGACAGATTTGTGTGATTTATTGATGAGTTGTCTTGGGTTTTAACAAAGTTTTCGGAATTGTCACAGATAAACCTAAAATTCATGGAATTTACGTCAGTGATCAGATTAGTTCTACATACAAGTACAATAAATTTTAAAATAGGAGAATAAGACGTCAGAGAGAGAAAATGAGCCGAACAAATTTTTTGAAAAAAAAAAAACATTTCTATTAGCTTTAGTGTTAAGATAAGATCATAAAAAGATCTTTGTTAATTTACATTTATCGACCTTAAATTTTGAATTAAAAAATATGCGAGGACAGTGTTACGAATTGATGACAATCAATGGTTCGAATGTGAGCAGAACAAATATTGGTTTGCAAAATATAATTTTCCTACATTTTAACCAAAAATAGTAAAGTTCGATGCTATGATTCTGATTTAATCTAAACATTGAGACATTCTTTATCAACAAGTCACACTATAACAAATTCAAACAAGATTTACTCATCACAATTTTGATATGAAGTCACCAAATGTTTAGAAAGATGAATAAGTGCATCTTTATTAGCGATTTACTATATTAGTCATAACCTTAAAACGTGTGCAAAATTTCAGAGTAATTTGTTTAGCTTGTCAAATTGTAAATTTTGTACAATTTTGATTTTTTTCCAAAAATCTGCGTACATAAAGCAAAAATGTACATAATATATTATTTTCACATTTTGCATAAAACCGTCTTTGCAAAATTCTGAGATGAACTTCAAATTTTTGGTGGAGATGATAAGACAAATTTTGGTTTGCGTCATATGATCTGCACTATATTCTTAAAATATATTTACAATCAGTCCAGTAGTTTCAGAAAAAGAAATATATATTCTCACTAAATTTGAAGATGCTCGGTTGAAAACACAAACTCTGGTTAAGTGACAAAAAGCAAAGATAACTGAAGCACATCAAATCTGGTTAACACCTGAAAATATTTGTGATTTTTTTCCAAATCTTGTTATAACAACTTTAAGAATTTTCTTACTTTATGTGGGAATTTCTTTCAACAACAAAACACAGGATGCTCCAAGATTTTTCAAATTGTTTAAACAACTTTATCGAGAATAAAATAGCAAAAGTCACCGAGATGCTTTCAAATTCTTTTAAAAAAACACTAGGGGCCCTCAAGATTTTTTACATTCTTTAAAAAAATACACTATCCCCCCCCCCAAGATTCTTTTAAACTTGACCTATGAGCCGCTAGGATCCTTTAAATCTCTTTCAAAAACAAAATATACAAAGCCCCCAAGAATTTTCAAATTATTTAAAAAAATCACGATTTGTCTAAGAGCCTTCAAAATTTTTTCAAACTTTTTTTAAGGACACTAGGGGCCCCTAAGATTCTTTCACACTAAGGCATTTAAAAACTCCTAAGATTCTTTTACATACTTTAAAAAGAAAGCATATTAAGGGACCCCGAAAATTCTTCCAAATTGTTTAAGAAAAAAAAAACACTAGAAGCTCCTAAGATTCTTTCAAACTGTCTCAAAAATAAAACATTAGTTCCTGAGATTGTTTTCAAGTTCGTAAAAAAACACACTAAGGGAGCACGAAGATTCTATCAAATTATTTAAAAAAGATACCAGTGACCCTCAGATTCTTTCAAACTCTTTCAAAAACAAAACATCAAGGGTCCTCGAGATTTTTTTCAAGCATTAAAAAAAGACACTAGGGATCCCCAGGACTCTTAAAATATATTTCCAAAACAAAACACACGGGCCCTCCAAAGGTTTTTCAAATTCTTAAAAAAAACACTATCCAAAAACAAAAACCAAGGGTTTTTCAGATGCTTTCAAATTCCTTTTAAAAGGACACTAGGGTCTCCCAAAATTCTTTCATACGAAGACGCAAAAGACTTCTAGAATGTTTTACATTCTTAAAAAAAAAAAAACACCAAGGGCTCCAAAGATTCTTTCAAACTGTCTCAAAAACAAAACATCAGGGGATTACTGAGATTTTTTCAAATTATAAAAAAACACTAGTGGTTCCTTGGATTCTTTCAAGTTCTTCAAAAAAAAAACACTCAAACTTTTTTAAAAACAAAATATAAAGGGACCCCGAAGATTCCTTTACAGTTTAAAAAAGATACCAGTGATACTAAGATTCTTTCAAATTTATTCAAAAAAACAACAAAGGTCCACGAGATTTTTTTCAAGTATTTAAAAAAACTCTAAAATTTTCAAATCTTTAAGTCACTACTTTTCAAAAACAAAAACCAAGAGTCTTAAAAATTCTTTCACATTCTTTTTAAATGGACACTAACGGCTCATGAGATTATTTCAAACTATTTCAAAAACAAAACAGAGACTCTTTCAAGTTCTTTAAAAACAGACACCAAGATTCTTTCAAACTCTTTCAAAAACAAAACATCAAGGGTCCTCGAGATTTTTTTCAAGCATTAAAAAAAGATACTAGGGATCCCCAGGACTCTTAAAATATATTTCCAAAACAAAACGCCCGGGCCTTCCAAGGATTTTCAAATTCTTAAAAAAAAACACTATCGAAAAACAAAAACCAAGGGTTTTTAATATGCTTTCAAATTCCTTTTAAAAGGACACTAGGGTCTCCCAAAATTCTTACATACTAAGACGCAAAAGACTCCTAGGATGTTTTTACATTCTTAAAAAAAAAAAAACACCAAGGGCTCCAAAGATTCTTTCAAACTGTCTCAAAAACAAAACATCAGGGGATTACTGAGATTTTTTCAAATTATAAAAAAACACTAGTGGTTCCTTGGATTCTTTCAAGTTCTTCAAAAAAAAAACACTGAAACTTTTTTAAAAACAAAATATAAAGGGACCCCGAAGATTCCTTTACAGTTTAAAAAAGATACCAGTGATCCTAAGATTCTTTCAAATTTATTCAAAAAAACAACAAAAGTCCCCAAAATTTTTTTCAAGTGTTTAAAAAAACTCAAAAATTTTCACATCTTTAAGTCACTACTTTTCAAAAACAAAAACCAAGAGTCTTAAAAATTCTTTCAAATTCTTTTTAAATGGACACTAATGGCTCACGAGATTATTTCAAACTATTTCAAAAACAAAACAGAGACTCTTTCAAGTTCTTTAAAAACAGACACTCGAAAAAAATTGTTAAAAAAATCATTGAAGCAAAGTTCTCAAAACATTGTTAAACTTCAAAGTTGAAAAATCAACTTCGTAATTCTGATATATTTATTTTAAGTGAATTTAATTGACAGTCTAAAATTTAGATAAAAATTGTCAGAAATGACATTATGGATCGTATTCTTGCAAATTATTATTAATAACTAATTATTTAACTCTTTATTAGATATGCAGTTCATTAAAAGAAATCAGAATTACGAAGTGAATTCTTCGATTTTGAAGTTTAATATTTTCAAAAGTTTGGTGTAGAGATTTTTTTAACCATTTTTTTTTAGTTTTTTCAAGCCTAAAATTTTTTCAAATTGTTTAAAAAGAGACATTAAAGGCCCCTAAAATTCTCTCAAACTCATTCAACAACTTAAATTTTTTTAATATTAATTTTAATGTAAATTCTCGTGTAAATAAATACTTATATATACACGATATAGCTATTAAATCCGGAATGCTTGAAGCCACAAAACTATTAAGAACATAATCAAATGAAAATTTTTGTTTGTTTTGCTTTACTTTCTACAAAATTCATCAGCACCGACTTTAAAAAAAAATTACAGATAACTTGGGAACATTTTGTCGACCATCACATTTTTTTTTTAAATGTATACTTTGTATCTTGTCACAATTATTGAACTTTCCTGAATCATTTTTAAAAGCAAATATTTGTTTAGAACCCTTCTGCCTCTAAAATAACGCCCGAAAAGCAAAAATTTAAGAATCAATCTTCTCCCCAAACAAGCCCGACGAAAAAATCGGTCATTTTTTAATTAAACCTCGAATCACCAACCAATTCATAAAATCACAATACCCGCAAAACGCTTACGATTTAATGAAGGTTAACACTCACTAATGTCAGATTTATCTTTTTCCTTTCATCAGTACATACCTCTTCACGTTCACTACTCGTCCGCCGAACCCAATCGATCACTTTTTCGGCGCGAATTCACCAAAATCAAACCCTCGCCTTCGCCTCGACTAAATAATTTCGACGTCGCGGACCTAATTAGCATGCACCCCGCAGAAAACAAGGAGATAAGAACACAAAAGATGCTGACAAGCTGCGAGAAAGCCAGTTAACTACAGCGGGAAATGGGACAAGATTGCCGTATTAAATTGGCCGCGGCACAAACAGCTGCCTTTGACTTTTTCGAGCTAATACACCTCTGACAAATTGGGAAAAATGAGTCGCGTACCTAACATCCGCTAATTGAAAAACGCGCTGCGAACTCACGCCGACACTGCACGCTCACCAGGTGGATGCTCACATTTATTTGCGGGATTGTACGTCACACTACGGAATCGTGGATGCGTTCCCGGTCGCATCACTTTTCGAAGTGAAGTTGCGGCTGGGATTCGCTGGAAGTCGCGACCGTACCGGGTTTTATTCGGGCCCGGTGGATATTTTTTTTTATGGTGACAAGATTTTTCCATTTCGAGATTTGACAAGAATCGGATTAAGTGCGCCGAAAGGTCACTAGGAGTGAGTCACGAGGTTTTGATTAACTGCACCGACGACGCCATCCGGACTACGCGATTCTTATCTGGTGACGCTGCACGCTTATCTGCTGCAGTTGTGATTAGTTGCGGGGTTTCTCAAGGCTCCGGATTGACCACCGTGCATCTTCGCGATTTCTATCAACGATTTATTCGTAAAATTGGATTCGTTTCTTAATTATTCCCGAAATGAATAATTAACCAGCGCGTATTGAGAAAATAACTCGAGTAAGTTTTTTTGGGCGATTATTAAGAGGTTTGGCATTTTAGTAACACGATTTTTCCATTTTAAAATTGTTTGACAAAGAGAGTGGAAGGAACGGTCGTGTCCTCGGAAGCTGACAAGAAGTGAGAATAAAAGGTCAGTTATTAATGAGACCAGATTATAAGCATTGTGTTTTCAATTAAGATATTTATGATCATATTTACGCAGTTGTAGTTTTTGATGTTTTATTTTAAGTCAAAATTAAATTTAATGTAAAATTTGGAATATGAGATTTCAAGCCGTGCCGTTCGTTGGAGAAAATAATGACTTCACTTTTCGCTTCACAATAAGCAGTAATCACTTCAAGCTGAAGGTTCTCTCCTATTTGTTTAGTTTTTAACTTCTTTTAGTCTGCAAAATTTGAAGGACATGAATTTTCTGTTATTATTTTATTTGACGAATCATGACGCTACTGAGTTTTAAATAAGGATAAAAACGAAAAAATGTCATAATCTACAAATGTTTCAAAATAACTGTGGACAAACAAACTGACAAAAAGTAAATTGATAAACGGAAGTAAGTGTACAAAGAAGTTTATAATGGGTAAATTTTAGTGATAAATAAATGAATCATATTCCCGGAAAATGTAACACATAGTTTGAGTCATGTAAAATGAAATTCTGTAGGGTTATGCTTTGAATTTTTTCTTGTTCTCAGTTAAAAAAATTAAGTTTTTGAAAAATGTTGATCTTTTTTAGATTTCGACTTTTTAGAAATGAAGAAATGGTTTTCATTTCATTGATTTTTTGTGAATTTTTAGACGGCTTTTCCAAAAGCTCCATTTTTCACTACTCTCCTCTAATAAAAAATTCAAACCTTAGTCGACCTACTTTCAGATTACCCAATCAGATTTGTTTGATAAATTTCGACTTCTAGAATTAATTTAAAAAAAAAGGAGAAATCGTAAAATCTAAAATTTAAGAAATCGCAAAAATGAAAATCGAAAATTGAAGAATCGAAAAACTGATAAATCGACAAATTGAGGAGTCGAAAAAACCAGAAATCCAAATTGAATTACATCGAAAAGTCAAGGAATTTAATATCGAAAAATGGGAAATTGAATAATCCAAAAATTAAAAAATTAAAAACCGAAAAGCTAAAAAATCGAAAAATATAAAACCGGAAATTGAAAAATCGAAAGATCGATAGATCGGCACACCAAAAAATCATATAATCGAAAAGATGAAATATCGAGAAATTTACAAAACTAAAAATTGAAAAATTGGACTGAAAATTAAAAAAAAACGTAAATCGAGAAATCGCAAATTCCAAATTTTAGAAAATGAAAAAATGAAAAAAATGAAGAATCGAAAAACCGAAAAATCAAGAAATCAAAATAGCATTAAATGGAAAAATAGAAAAGCCGATTCGAAAAAACAAGATATCTTAAAATCGAAACATCTAAGTATTGAAAAATCTAAAAATTTAAGTTTTGAAAAATTGAAAAATTACCAAACTTGTAATGAAAATGGAGAAATTGAAAAATTGAAACATTGAGAAATGGAAATATCAGATGATCCAGAAAACAAAAACTCGAGAAACCGAAAAACTGAAAAATCGGGAAATCTGAATAGCATAAAATCGAAAAATCGTAAATTAAAAATTGAACAATTTAAAAGAGGAAAAAAAATAAAAAAAAACGAGAAATTGGGAAATCGCAAAATTGGAAAATCGAAAAGCCGAATCGAAAAACTGAGAAATCGAAAAATCAAAAAATCGAAAAATGGAGAAATTAAAACATTGAGAAATCGAAATATCAAATGATCGAGAAAACAAAAACTCGAGAAGTCCAAAAACCGAAAAATCGGGAGATTCAAATAGTATAAAATCCAAAAAACGTAAAGTTAAAAATCGAAAAACTGAAAAATTGGGAAATTAAACAATCGAAAAGTCGAAATCTTGATTAATCCAAAATTCGAAAAATCAAAAATATTAAAAATCGGAGAATGGAAAAACCATAAAATCTAAAGGAAGTTACTAAATCCAAAGATCGAGAAATCGAAACATCAAAAAATCATATACTAATCGAAATGTTACAAAATCGAAAAATTCAAAAACTAAAAAACTGAAAAAAAGAACGAAAAATCAAAACAACGAGAAATTGGAAAATCGTAAAAATCAAAATTTAAAAAATCCGAAAACTGAAAAATCCAGACATTGATAAACCCCAAAAATAAAAAATCGAAAAATTAAAAAATTAAAAAAACCCAAAACTAAAAAAAAAACGAAAAATGCAAAATTTTCAAAATCGAAAATCGAAAATTCGGGAAAATATCGAAGAATTGAAAAATGCAAAAATTTGAAGGACATGAATTATTATATTATTTGTCAAATTATGATGCCACTGAGTGTTAAATAGGGATAAAAACGAAAAAATGTCATAATCTACAGGGAAGTTGTAAATGTTTCAAAATAACTGTGGACGAACAAACTGACAGAAACTAGGTAAGTATACAAAGAAGTTTATAATGGGTAAATTTTAGCGATAAATAAATGAATCATATTCATGGAAAATGTAATAGTTTGAGTCATGTAAAAAGAAATTCTATATATATGCTTTGAATTTTTTCTTGCTCTCAGTTAAAAAAATGAAGTTTTCGAAAAATGTTGATCTTTTGTATGTAGATTTGGACTTTTTAGGACTGAAAAAATGGTTTTCATATCATAGACTTTTTTGTGAATTTTTAGACGGCTTTTCCAAAAGCTCCATTTTTCACTACTCTCCTCTAATAAAAAATTCAAACTTTAGTCGACCTACTTTCAAATTACCCAAACAGATTTGTTTTATAAATTTCGACTTCTAGAATTAATTTTTGGCCTGATTTTTTCAAAAACTTACCATTTTTTCAAAATCGCTGAATGGAATTGGCAACTTTTAGGATTACAAAATATACATTTTTAACTGAATATTTGTAAAATCTTGATTTGGGATCATGACTTTTTTGCGAAATTTTATAGAATTTTTTCAAAAGTTCCAGTTTTCGCTATTATTCGCTGATGAAAATTTCGACTTTTTTTCGACCACCTTTAAAAATTACCTACCGAGTTTTTTTTGTAAATTTTGACTTCTACAATTTATTTTTGACCTCATTTGTTCGAAGACTCTTATCATTGTTTCAGAATAGCTGAATACGTATTTCTAAAATCCTGCTACAGGATCAAAAACGCGTCGAGATTTTGAGTTCCAAATTTTTTGTGGATTTTTAGACAATTTTTTTAAAAATTCCATTTTTCATCATTTCCACCTGATGAAAAATGCAAAATTTTAAAAATCGAAAATCGAAAATTCGATGAAAATATCGAAGAATTGAAAAATGCAAAAATTAAAAAATTCCCAAACTTGAAATGTTGAAAAATACAAAAAACGAAAAGTTAAAAAACCGTGAAATCGACAAATTGAGATTTAAAAAAATTTGAAAATAGGGAATTCTAAAAAAAAAATCATATTATCGAAAAATTGAAAAATCGAAAGATATAAAACCGCAAATTGAAAAATCGAAAAATTAAAAATTGAAAAAAACAGCAGTCGAAAAATCGAAAGATCGATAGATCGGAACACCAAAAATTCATATAATCGAAAAGATGAAATATCGAAAAATTTACAAAATTAAAAATTGAAAAATTGGACTGAAAATTAAAAAAAAAACGTAAAGCGTGAAATCGCAAATTCCAAATTTTAGAAAATGAAAAAATGAAAAAAATTAAGAATCCAAAAACCGAAAAATCGAGAAATCAAAATAGCATTAAATCGAAAAATCGAAAAGCCGATTCGAAAAAACGAGATATCTAAAAATCGAAACATCTAAGTATTGAAAAATCTAAAAATTTAAGTTTTTGAAAAATTGAAAAATTACCAAACTTGTAATGAAAATGGTGAAATTGAAAAATTGAAACATTGAGAAATGGTAATATCAGATGATCGAGAAAACAAAAACTCGAGAAATCGAAAAACTGAAAAATCGGGAAATCTGAATAGCATAAAATCGAAAAATCGTAAAATTAAAAATTGAACAATTTAAAAGAGGGAAAAAAATAAAAAAACGAAAAATTGGGAAATTGCAAAATTGGAAAATCGAAAAGCCGAATCGAAAAATTGAGAAATCGAAAAATCAAAAAATCGAAAAATGGAGAAACTAAAAACTCCAGAAGTCCAAAAACCGAAAAATCGGGAGATTCAAATAGTATAAAATCCAAAAATTGTAAAGTTAAAAATCGAAAAACTGAAAAATTGGGAAATTAAACAATCGAAAAGTCGAAATCCCGATTAATCCAAAATTCGAAAAATCAAAAATTTAAAAAATCGGAGAATGGAAAAACCACAAAATCTAAAGGAAGTTACTAAATCGAATGATCGAGGAATCGAAACTTCAGAAAATCATATAATCGAAGTGTTACAAAATCGAAAAATTCAAAAACTAAAAAACTGAAAAAAAGAACGAAAAATCAAAACGAGAAATTGGAAAATTGGAAAATCGTAAAAATCAAAATTTAAAAAATCGG